CTTATTTACAAGCCAAACAAACCATGCTTTAAGACTCGTAAGATCACAGGCTTCCCCAACTTGGTGGGAACTGTTCACTTTCAACATATTGCCTGAAGAGGGAGTTGAGGGTGGGCAGGGGTGGGAAAGAGGGATGCTTCTCTTTGCAGAATGGTGGTACCTTTGCAGAGTCCCTCTTGTGGGAAGGGTCGAACTGGTGTGGTATAGGTCCATGCTGTGCAGCACAGTTTCACAATCCTTTTTGAGAAGAACTTCCTTGGAGCAGGACCCCCAGCCTTCCCTGGGGCACAGGGGAAGACAGGCCAGGTTCCCTAGCTGAGAGCTCCTGCCACTCTTACCTTCACAGTCATAACTTTAACCTATGAAGAGAGAGAAGGGAAGAGGACTTCTGGGAAGTGTTTGGTTAAAGTGAGGATTCTGTCCACAGAATTGCAGCAGCAGATTCCTACTCCTGCTTTGTTCCATGTCTTCTAGAGAGAGAGGTGCAGCAGGACAGTGTGACCTGGGAGCAGGGGCAGTGCAGCATCATAGAAGTGTCTAGTAGCACCTTCCTGGTTTGAGAATCACTGTGCCAAACTAGCTTTGTAATAACACACTTCAAAGGGGTAACACAGTAGGAATGGGAGAGTGATGTAATTGTTACTGCAAAACATCAACAGCATCTGCTTGATGAAGTGCTGTAGGGTAAATCTAGAATTTGTAAAGACACTTTTCAGTGTGTGAATTCATTGATGGCAAAATGAAGATGTAAAGCTGCTGGGTTTTTGGATGGGGTGTTGTTTTGTCTTTAGTTGGTTTTTTGTGGTGTTTTTTGAATATTCTTCAGTAGTTCTAAACTGCTAACTGGTCATCTCTGTTTAAAAACTTGTGCTGGCATATATGCTGAAGACTGACTTTTTAAAATAAGTGTTTACTAAATCTTCAAGTAAAGTTTTGCTTTGTACTGAATCTTGGTAGAGAACTTTATTTCCTTTTTATTGCTTTAGCAGTTGGGGGGAGAAGTAGACTTGCAATGTACATTCTCCCCCCCCCCCCCCCCCCCC